GTGATTGAGGGACCATATGGGATGCTGGGGATTGAACCTGGGTCGGTTGCATGCAAGGCAAATGCCTTCCCTGCTATACCATTGCTCTGGCCCCGATCCTTCCTTTTTAGGGAGATTCAGCTTAGATCTCACCACCTTGCTGACTTAGTCCCTGAGTAAACAATAGCTGATCAACAAGTAGTACAAGTCCAGAAGCCATAGCCAGTTGTTTTGGCAGTGGTATGATGCATCAGTGGGTAACATTGTTTTGTTTTTGTTTAGGGACCACACCAAAAGGCACTAAGGACTCCTGGCTCTGTGCCCAAGGATCACTCCAGGCAGGGCTCAGGAGGACCGTATGAGATGCCGGGAATCAAACCTGGGTCTCAAACTGGGATCAAACCAGGTGCAAGGCAAAATCTCTCCTGCTGTACTCTCTCTCTCTTGCCCCATGAAGTTTTTTAAAAATAATTCAACTTACTGAGTGCCTACTGTGTGCTTGGAATTGGTTATGACCTATATATTTATCACCAGTGAGTTTTCCCGATTTCCCTGGGGTTGGAGAATTCATTGTTATATCATTTTCCTGAGACTTCATCATCAGGTATCTTTTCCAGGTCTCTTAGACTCTTCTGAGGTTAAAAGAAGGTCTAGCAAGTTCTTGGAGGATGCAAGCACAACTTGGGGATGGGTGGTTTGGATGCCCCTCCCGTGTCTGCTGTTGTATAAGAGCTGAGAATATTTCAGTCATGTTGCTAGAATTGCTGGGGTGGCCAGTTGTCAAGGGTCAGGGTTGGGACCTTCTTGGCCTCAGGAGATGGAGTGATTTTTTTTTTTGTTTTTGTTTTTGCTTTTTGGGTCACACCCAGAAATGCTCCGGGGTTACTCCTGGCTTTGCACTCAGGAAATGGAGTGATATTGTTGAGTGTAAACAGGCCAAAGGCAGGTAGCAGGATCTGAGGATCCCTTATTACCTTGTCTCATCAAAGGGAATCTTCTTGGATCTGGAGAAATAGTACAGAGATTAAGGCACCTGCCTTGCATGTGGCTGTGTTTGTGGTAGCAGTTCAAATCTCAGCATCACATATGGTGATGAACACTTCCAAGTGTGGCCCTTCAGCACTGCAGGTTATGTCTCACAAGGGAATCTTTTTATCTTCTTTTCACTTTTTCCTCTCCTGACTGAAAACCAGTTTTGCTTCATTTCTGGCACAGAAGAAGGGAAAGAATTATTTGCATAGTATAATCGGCAACTCATCACGTAAGAAGCAGAGGAACAATGCAGTTTGGTATCTTTTCCAGGCATTTTCTCATTTATCTGTTTGTGAGCAAACCCTACCCAGAGAAGGCAAAGATAGAAGGCAAAGGTAGTTATTTCCTCATTGTGCATGAGAAGAAAATGCAACCAGTTACACATCCAGGCTGATCAGTAGAAAACCTAGCCTAGAGCCTTGAGCTCTTCCAAAACTCTTGGCACTGGTCTCTGATGTGCATACACCCAACATGTGAATATGTGTTTAACATACTCTGGGACACTAAACTCCACAAACAGTATCTTGATAAGCTGTCAGGCATGTTTATTTTCATCTCGAACAAGTTGTTTAGTTAGCATGTACGACACTTGATGGACACTTAATCTGAATCCTAAGACCTTTAGTTCTGCACCCAGAGGTTTCCACACTTGCCCCTTCAGGTGTCTGCCTTATATACTGTGGGGAGCAGTTGCTCTGTGGGCTAGCAGATTCGTAACAGCAGGTGTCCAAGAAGCCCCTATGCTGGTCTTCCCCGGGACCACATGAGAAAGTGGATGTCTCTTGCAGCTGGCCACTCTGACCTTATCTGACTCCTCGCTGGAAGAGATTTATGGGGCATTTGTTTTGCTTCTCTTGCTGCCAACTCAGCAGCTTGGAACCAGGCTGGCTGAGTGATTTTGGCTCAAAATAGACAAATCTGTATAATTTCTTGTTCCTTTCAGTCGTCTGAGAGATCACTGAATCTATCACCAGGTTTGTTGAATACTGTTGTGTATTAATGCCCTGTGAAAGATATAGGGTGGAGAAAGGTGATTGAAATAGTGAAAAAAGTACACAGTAGAGTCCCTGCCATGCATTCATTCATTTTCTTATTCATTAGACATGGAGGTCCTTAATGGCCAGATTGTTTGGCAAAACTCATGCCCTAAATTTTAGAAATGTAAAGAGAGATAAGATCTTGGTTTCATGAATCTAAGGAAGGGTTACTTTAGACTGTGACTCATAACACTATTAGCAACAAACATCTTTTTTTTGGGGGGGGTCACACCCGGCGATGCACAGGGGTTATTCCTGGCTCTGCACTCAGGAATTACTCCTGGCGGTGCTCAGGGGACCATATGAGATGCTGGTAATCGAAATCGAACCCGGGTTGGCCACGTGCAAGGCCAATACTCTACCCTCTGTGCTCTCGCTCCAGCCCCAGTATCAAACATCTTAATAAAATTAGTAGTGTTACTAGTAAGAGTAGCAAGTAGGTTTTCCATCTTGAGTTATGGGAAATGGAAACTTGTTTTATTATCTTCAGTTAGTGGTCGGTCTGTATTTCCTTAACTGCCCATTGTCAGTCTTAAGACTCAGGAGGGTAGAGTCATAGACCACTTCTGGCCTTACGATATCAGGGGTCTTACCTGGCAGTGTCGGTCCTCCAGCATAGTATGTGTTTTCAGGAGTTGAACCATTGTTGTGCCTGCAGCTACATGCAAAGCAAATGCTTTAACCTCTGTACTTCCTTTCTGATCTAGGTTGGTGTTTAGGTGTTTTTCTTTTCTCTTAAGGATAGAGGTAACTTGTAAAGGTTCGTCACTCTTTTTTTTCCCAGAGCTTTATATTTTGTATGTAATGACCCATTGAATATTTACAGCAGTTCTGACATTTAGGCATGGTTTCTGTCGACAAATTTTGGTTACCCAAATTTACGGTTTGCACTTAGCAGAGCTGGAAGCCAAGTGCTGGCCTCTCTGACCTCCTACTGTGTCACTCCTGATTCCCACAGCCTTGTCATCCTGATGTGACATCCTGATGTGACTTAAGCCTCTCAGCTGGTTGGGGTGATGCATGATTACCAGCCAAAAGCTTCCATTTCCAATTCCATGTGTTTGCTCATCCTACTTTCCCCCCTGAAACCTTCACTTCTTGTTCTCTTTCCAAACCTTTTTGCTATCTTTGATGCTTAACTCTGGTCAATTTTCCCTATTACATTGTTTTTTTGTGATGCGAGATAGTTTTTATTGAACAGAACTTATTTAGAAAGATACGAGAGAGACGCAAAGAAACAGAGAGACAAGCAAGTGATATTCATGTTTGAGACTAAAAGAGCAAAACCCTGTTGGATTTTCCAAGATTATTTTAGCCACAGTGTTTCCCCCATCCCTTAATACTTTTTATGGTATGATTGATAAACTGTCAGTCTATAACATCTGAGAGTAATATGCGCATACCTTTCAGTAGTTTTAGCTGCGTTATCTCATTTTCTTTTCCAGTTTAAAAAAATTGAATCACCGTGAGATTCACAGAAAGTTGTTCATGATTTTCAGTCGTACAATGTTCTAGCGCCCATCCCTTCACCATTGTACACTTTCCATCACCAGGGTCTCCATGTTCCCTTCAGCTCTCCTATGTCAGATGTTTTCCTTTTAAGGGAGTATTATCGCTTTGAATTAGGAACTTTGGCCTTGGGGTTTTATATCGAGAGTAGGATCCCTGAGCATGGTTTCAGAGCTCGAATTCAGGATCTCATTGGTATCAGATCCTCCTTCCTGGCTTGACTTTTTTTTTTTTAATGTAACCATACCAGGTGGTGCCAGGGGACCATCTGTGGTGGTAGGCATTGAACTGGGGTCAGCCTTGTGCACCCTGTCCTCCCCCTGGCCCTTTGTTTACCTTTATGTGTGTGATGCAGCTCGAACCTCAGGTCTCTTGCGTGTAAGACAAGTGTGCTGTTCTGAGCCACATCTCTGATCCCTGGTCTTTAACATTTTGAGAAACTTCCAGTTTTTTAGTGGCAGTTTCATTTATGTTCCTATCAGCACTTGTGTCTGAGCACTGCACTCTCCCCATAGCTGTAGCAGTTCTTGTTACTGTCCTTTTGCTCACAGCTATCTCAATGGGGGAAAAGCATTATCTCATTATGTTTTTAGTTGTCATTGCCCTAATAAATATCAGGTTAAGCATCTTTGTTTGATTACCATTTATGTATCATTTATAGTATACCTGATCATTTGTCTGTTGTTGGAGAATGTCCATATTTTTTGCTTACTATTTTGCTTATTCTTAAGGTTTTTGTGTTATTTTGACCACACCTGGCAATGTTCAGGGGTTACTCCTGGCTCTTCACTCAGGAATTACTCCTGGTAAAGCTCAGGGGACCATATGGGATGCTAGGGATTGAACCTGAGTTGGCACTGTGCAGGATAAATTCCTAGCTTCTGTATTCTCTCTCCAGCCTCTACTTCAGATTATTTGCTTCAGTTTTTGTTTACTTGCTCCCCCATTATCTTTAAGAGGTTTTTAGTTTGAACTGTTTCATGATCACTGAATTATTAATTTGTTTTGTTTTGAGGCCACACCCAGTGGTGATATGGTACCAGGTTGGCCATGTGCAAGGCAAGTTCTCAGGCCCCTAAATTCTCTTTGTTTGGTTTTTGGGGCCACACTCAATAGTGCTCAGGGCTTACCTTGGCTCTGTGCTCAGGGATCACTCCTGGCACGGTTTAAGGGACCACGTGATGCCAGAGATTGAACCCAGGCTGCCCTTGTGCGTGGCAGGTGCCTTAAGCCCTATACTGACTCCCTGACCCTGGCCCTGAGTTCTTACACTGAATTGGATTTAGCTAAGGGAAGGCTTTTGGGAGGCTATGATTTTGGGACTTTCCTTGTGGCCTTGATGAGTCAGTTCAGTTTTGGTATCCTGACTCTGGGTAGCATTAGTTTTTGGAGGTATTACAAGAAATGTTGCCATTTCTGTATTTCATTTTTGTTTCTTTGAAGGTAACAAATGAAGAAGACTTCATTAGGAAATTGGACTGCAAACCTGATCAGCATCTAAAGGTTGTTTCCATCTTTGGGAATACTGGTGATGGAAAGTCTCATACCCTCAACCACACTTTTTTTTATGGCCGTGAAGTCTTCAAAACCTCCCCTGCCCAGGAGTCCTGCACCGTGGGAGTATGGGCGGCGTATGACCCAGTCCACAAGGTGGCTGTGATCGACACCGAAGGGCTCTTGGGGGCTACGGTGAATCTAAGCCAGAGAACACGACTGTTGCTGAAAGTGCTGGCCATCTCGGACCTCGTCATCTATCGAACTCATGCAGACCGGCTGCATAATGACCTCTTCAAGTTCCTTGGGGATGCCTCGGAAGCTTACCTAAAACACTTTACCAAGGAGCTCAAGGCTACCACTGCCCGCTGTGGCCTGGATGTCCCCTTGTCCACTCTGGGCCCCGCTGTTATCATTTTCCATGAGACTGTGCATACCCAGCTGTTGGGCTCTGGTGAGTAGATGGACTGCTGTGCCACAGAATGGCCTTTCTGGGCTACCAGCAAGTAGCCATTGGTTGTTATAGCAAGCTTGGGGATGGTAGATTACCCGGACAAATTTTTTTTTGTTTTGTTTTTGTTTTTGCTTTTTGGGTCATACCTGGCAGTGCACAGGGGTTACTCCTGGCGGTGCTTGGGGCATCATATGGGATGCTGGGAATCGAACTTGGGTTGGCCACGTGCTAGGTGAACACCCTACCTGCTGTACTATTGTTCCAGACCCAACCCAGACAAATTTCTGTCCTAGCCAAAAAGTAAGGGAGTGTTTGAAGTGGGAGTAGTCATTTGCCGTGTCAGAAATCTGCTTGTAGTCAGGATGAGGATGGAGAACTGCTGATTGGCTTTGGCAATGTAGGGATTGGGGGTGATCTGAATAAGACCTGTTTTTTCGTGGATGGAGGGCCTGAAAACCAGGTCAGAATGGGAGCAAGAGAGACTAGGGGAGAAAACAAATAGGTCTACCCCCCACTCTTTCTTTGAAAGAGTTCTACTCTCCAGGGTAGCTGACAAATAAGAGTGACAGCTGGAAGCTGATGGGGGACGGCGGGGGATTTTTCCCACTTTTAAATTTAGGTGTGAAGTGTTGCAGATATTTGTGTACCAGAACGATGCAGATGTCAAATAGAACAGGTGCAGTCAAGTGGTGCCCATGTGGAAGGATTGCCTTAGTTAGTGGTATGGGCTGTTCATCCCTCACTCCAGGGGAGAAGGCTTGGGCAAAGAAGGTAGATGTGGTAGGAGGCTGTGTGGAAACTGTCTTCATGTTTCTCTTCTCTGAGAGCTGGGAAGCAAGAACATCATTGAGTGGGAGGATGTTCAGCAGGTGTGTCAGCAGCAGCTGGATGCAAGGGAGGGACAGTGTCTGCTCGAAATGCAACCCCATTTACCTCTTCATCCAGTTGGGTACAAAATGAAAAGAGGAAAAAGCAAAACCCATAAATAATTACTACCCCAGAGTAGTTTGCTCCCTTAAAAGTTAAATGAAAAACCCTTTTTTTTTTAAAAAAAAAAAGATTGAAAAAATCTATTTTTTTTTCCTTTGTAAGAAGTCACTCATGGATGGATCCCCCGGGTAGCTACAGGGGAGGGGAGGGAAGCAGGGAGGGGGGAGAGAAAGAAGAAGGAAAAGTTTACAAAGATGCTGTCTTAGGGAATAGAGGTCGAATTTGGTTTTGGGATTTTGTTTTCACTATTAAAATGACTTTAAAAAATTTTTTTTTATTGAGTGTAACCATGACTTACAAAGTTACAAAGTTTTTCATAATTAAGTTTCAGTCATACAGTATTTTATTTTTTTTGTTTGTTTTGCTTTTTGGGTCACACCCAGTGATGCACAGGAGTTCCTCCTGGTTCATGAACTCAGGAATTACTCCTGGCGGTGCTCAGGGGACCATATGGGATGTTGGGAATTGAACCTAGGTCGGCCGTGTGCAAGGCAAACTCCCTACCCACTGTGCTATTGCTCCAGCCTCCGGCATACAGTATTTTAAAACCAGTCCCTTCACCAGCGTGTATTTCTCTGCACTGGTGACCCCCGTTTCCCTCCCACCCCCCCAGACTGCCTCTGTGGCAGGTGCTTTTTCCCTCCACCATTGTCCTAGAGTTTCCTTTCTTAACTTTCCCCCTGCCCCTCTCCAGTGGCATGCTTCCCACTGAAGACCTATTTTTCTGCTCTTCATTTCTATTGCCTTTGGACCTTTATTATTCCCTTACGAAGTATTTTAATATTCCACCAATTAGATCATTCTGCATCTGTCCCTCTTTAACTTCATTCAACATGAAGTTTTTCCCCACATGAACACCAACACTGGTTGTTGGTTCTTTTTGATGTGTGCCAGTCTCTGTGGTATGAGGTGATATCTCATTGCTTTGATTTGCATTTCCCTGTAGTGGTATAGAGCATATTTTTAAATTTTTTTTTCTTTTTGGGTCACACCTGGCGATGCTCAGGGGTTACTCCTGGCTCATGCACTCAGCAATCACTTCCGGTGGTGCTCGAGGGACCATATGGGATGCTGGGAATCGAACCTGGGTCGGCCATGTTGGCTGTGTGCAAGGCAAATGCCCTACCCGCTGTGCTATTGCTCCAGCCCTGGTATAGAGCATATTTTTATGTGCCTTTTGACCATTTGTGTTTTTTCTTTGAGGAAGTTTCTGTTCATTTCTTCTGCCATTTTTATTTTATTTTTATTTATTGTTTGCTTTTTGGGTCATACCCGGCGATGCTCAGGGGTTACTCCTGGCTTTGCACTCAGGAATTACTCCTGGAAATGCTCAGGGGACCGTATGGGAAGCTGGGAATTGAACTCTGGCCGCATGCAAGGCAAACTCCCTACCCGCTGTGCTATCATTCCAGCCCCTCTTCTGCCTTTTTTTTTTTTTTTGCTTTTCAGGTCACACCTGGCGATGCTCAGGGGTTACTCCTGGCTTTGCACTCAAGAATCACTCCTGGCAGTGCTCAGAGGACCATATGGGATGCTGGGAATTGAACCCGGGTCGGCTGTGTGCAAGGCAAACGCCCTACCAGCTGTGCTATCACTTCAGCCCCTCTTCTGCCATTATTTATTTATTTATTTATTCATTTATTTTTTTGCTTTTTGGGTAACACCCAGCAATGCTAAGGGTTTACTGCTGGGATTCAAACCCGGGTCATCTGTGTGCAAGGCAAACACCCTACCCGCTGTGCTATCGCTCCAGCCCTCTTCTGCCATTTTTAGATGGGATTATTTTTCTTGTAAAGTTCTACTAGTGCTTTATATATCTTGGATTAATCCTTTCTCCAATGAGTGGTGTGCAAATAATTTCTCTCTTTGTGGGGTGTCTTTGTATTCTGGTCATTGTTTTCTTTGAGGTGCAGAAATTTCTTTTTTTTTTTTAAATTATCTTATGTAGGAATACTGCTATTTATTCGGCCACTGATTAGCTGATGAACTCCACCTTAGTTTGTTTTATCATAATTTTATTTATTTATTTTTCTTATATTTATTTATTGAATCACTGTGGGAAAAGTTACTAAGCTTTCAGGTTTAAGTCTCGGTCATGCAATGATCAAACACCTTTCCCTTCACCAGTACTCATCTTTCCCCACCAAGAGCCCCAATATACCCCCCTCCCACTCCTCCCAATGCCTGTGAGGCAGATGATTTCCACGTAACTCTTCTCTACATTGATTACATTCATTATTTCGACAAAAGATGAACCATTATTGTTTAGAATTTCCCCCCCAACAATCAGAATTGCTGAAAAGGCATTGTAAAACACTTTGTTTTCTATAGCTGGCTATGAGAATCATATAATCTTGTGTGGCCGCAGTAGCAGCCTTGCGATTTTGGATTTCGAGGTGCAGAAATTTCTTTTTTTTAAATTAATTAATTTTTATTTATTTATTTATTTTTTAATTTTATTGAATCATCGTGATAGTTACAAGCTTTCATGTTGGGTTACAGTCACACAGTGATCAAACACCCATCCCTCCACTGGTGCACATTATCCACCACCAATGTCCCCAGTATGCCCCTCCCACCCCCCACCTCCATGGCAGACAATATTCCCTGTAGTCTCTCTCTACTTTTGGGCATTATGGTTTGCAATACAGACACTGAGAGATTATCATGTTTAGTTCTTTATCTACTTTCTGAAGTGCAGAAATTTCTTAATTTAATATAGTCCCATTTGTTTATGTTTGCAGCTACTTGCTTGGACAGAGGTCTCTAGCTTCAGTGTCATAGAGGATTCTGCCTATTTTCTTCTGTGAGCTTTATGCGTTCAGGTCTGATATTGAGGTCTTTAATCCATTTTAATTTCTTTTTTTTTTTTTTAATGTAGCTGACAGGTTTCCCCAGCACCATTAATTGAAGAGCCTTTCCTTGTTCCACTTCATATTCTTAGTTCCTTTATGGAATATTTACTGACTGCATACCTGAGTGATTGTCTCTCTCTCTATATATATATATTTTTTGTTTTTGCTTTTTGGGTCACATCTAGCTATGCTCAGGGGTTATTCCTGGCTCTGCACTCAGGAATTATTCCTGGCGGTGCTTGGGGGACCATATGGGATGCCGGGGATTGAACCCAGGTCGGCCGCGTGCAAGGCAAACGCCCTACCCGCTGTGCTATCACTCCGGCCCCTGTCTCTGTATTTTCTATCCTATTCCATTGATCTTAGGGTCTGTATTTAGTATCACATTATTTTAATTTATTTTTGTTGAGGGCCACACATGGTGATACTCAGGGGTTATTCCTGGGTCTACACTCACGATATCATTCCTGGCGGTGCTCAGTGGCAAGAATTAAACCTGGGTTGGCCGCAAATAGAGCAAGTGCCTTACCTGCTACTATCTCTCTGGCCCACCACACTGTTTTAATTACCACTTTGTAGTACAGTTGAAGTTGGGGAAAGTGATGCCTCCCATCTTCTTTTTCTTGAGGATTACTTTGGCTATTCAGAAATGTTACATCTATTTCTTTAAAAACTGTCACGGTTATCCTTATAAGGATTGCATTGAATCAATATAGTGCTTGGAGGAGCATTGCCATTTTGATGATGTTTATCCACATTAGAAGGGGATATGTTTCCATTTCCTTGTGCCCCCCTTTTATTTCCTTAAGTCACATTTTGTAGTTTTCCTTATGTAGTTTTCCTTGTTAGAGTAATTTAAGTTCTCCAAATTTTTTTTAAATTAAAAATTTAAATTATAGGACCGAAGCAATAGTATAGAAGGTTGGGCATTTGCCTTGCATGCAGCTGACTGGGGTTCAATCCCTGACATCTGATATGGTACCCCAAGCACAGCCAGGAGTAATTCCTAAGTGTAGTGCCAGGAGTAACCCCTAAGTGTTGCCTGGTGTGATCCCAAAAAGTAAAAAGCAAAAAAAAGAAAAAGAAATTATAGTTTAGATAGCTACAGCATTGAAGCTTGTTATCGAAATATACAAGATTTTTTTTTTTTTGGTTTGGGTCACACCTGACAATGCTCGGAGTTATTTCTGGCTCTGTACTCAGTAATCACTCCTATTGGTGCTTGGCAGACACATGGGATGCCAGGGATAGAACCCAGTTTGGCTGCGTGCAAGGCAAATACCCTATCTGTTGTACTATCTCTCTGGTCCCTCGACATACAAAATTTCCCTATTCCATCACCACCAAAGTGCCCCCAACCTTCCACTACTGTTCCAGTAACAGAATTTTGGCTCTTTTTGAAGACTCCATCTTTGAACTTGATCCAGTGTTAATTCAAGTAATTTTGTTGTTAAAAAAAAGGAGGGGCTGGAGTGATAGCACAACGGGTAGGGTGTTTGCCTTGCATGCGGCTGACCTGGGTTCGAATTCCAGCATCCTATATGGTCCCTGAGCATTGCCAGGAGGAACTTCTGAGTGCATGAGCCAGGAGTAACTGCTGTGTATCACTGGGTGTGACCCAAAGAGAAAAAAAAATTAAAGGAAATTAAGATTAAAAGTCTTACCAACTGTTACCTCAAAAAGGAATTTACAGGCTTACAGCAGGTAGGAGGCTTGCGTGGCATGTGGTTTACCCTGGTTTGATCTTTGGCACCGCATATAGACCCCTGGAAGCCCCTGAGTACAGCTAGATACGTCCCCTCTCCCCCGCCCCTGGAAAAAGACAAAAAAGAGGAATTTACATTTTCACTTGTGAAATGTCTGTGTGGAATCCCCCCCACTTCATCCCAGTTTCTGGATGACTGTGTGTGGTGGAACTCTGGGCAGGTTGTTTCCTCAGACCCTGGCACTTGGTGCAAAGCATAAGGGTAATATTTTTAGAGTAGCTATTTATTGTGAATATTCATGGGTGGTGACTGGGTAAGTATGCATGGGATAGAAGAATGTGTAATTGTTACAAAGAGTAAGGAACTTCTCAGTGTGTCATGACAAAGACAGATACAGTGTATTATTAAGTGATAAAAGCAAGTTGCTTCTCTGTGGCGGTGTGTTGAAAAAAGTCCAAGGGCTGGGATGGAGAGATAGTACCGAGTCAAAGGCACTGTCTTGCTTGTGGCTTTGACAATGATCCCTTGAGCACTGCCAGGAGCATAAGTCCTGATGACTGCTGGGTGTCCTGTCAATAAAGGGATCTTTTTTGCTTTTCCATTCTGAAGAAGCCCGTGTTCTCTCCTGAATGTGTCTGTCTGTCTGTCTGTCTCTCACCTCCCCACCTCCCGCCCAACATTTCTCTGAGTAGGTCTCCTTAAAGAAAATTACATTACCTCACTGAAAACAAAAAATAAGGACTCTTTGTTTGGAGAGCTAGTACAAAGGTTAAGGCACTTTGTGGCCACTGCAACATCACACAGTGTGCCCTGAACTCAGGGTCAGGCATGGCCTCCAAGTGCCATGAGATATGGTTCCAAAGCCAAAAAATAAAGCCTGAAAGGGTAAATGTTGAACTTGAACATTGAACTTTGGAGACTAGATGGGGGCAGAGGGCATGTATTCTTTCCTTCTCACTTTGCCATGTATGGATTTTTTTTCTTTTAATAGAGGGCATTTTTTTGTTTGTTTTGGTTTTGGGGGGGAGGGGCGCCAAACCCAGCTCTGCTTGGGATCTACTCCCAGCTCGTGCTTGGGGGACCCTGCAGGGCTGGAGATTGAGCCTGGGGTTCCAGTATGCAAACCACATTTGGTTGCAAACGTTGCCGTCCACTAAGCCGGCACCCCAGGCTTGGGCAGGTCTTCGAGAAGAGTCTTCCTTGAAGTACAGTGTCCACACAGAATGGTGCTCATCATATCAAAAGAGGTGGATTTTCATGATTCACCATTCCATTTTTCTACCCTGAACATAACTGTGAGATCAGTACCAGGTCATGAAACTCCAGCACCTACCTCAAAGGAAACCTCTTCAGACTCTTTTCTGCCTGGTCATGGGTCTGGCTGGCCTTTCTATGTTCCCGACACCGAGGAGTCAGAGTATGTATCACACACACACACATTGTGTTGAATCCACCCACTTAACCACTGCCATTACTTTGCTGAGGTAATCCCTACGGTGCTGGAGCAATAGCACAGTGGGTAGGGCATTTGCCTTGCACGTGCCAGACCCAGGTTTGATTCCTCCAACACACTTGGTGAGCCCAGCAAGCTACCGAGAGTATCCAGCCTGCACGGCAGAGCCTGGCAAGCTCCTAGTGGCATATTTGATATGCCAAACATGGTAACAACAAGTCTCACAATGGAGACGTTACGGGTGCCCGCTTGAGCAAATCGATGAACAACGGGAGGACAGTGCTACAGTGCAGTGCTATTTATTTGTCTATTTCACAGCAATAACATTGTTATGGTATTTTGTGTGTCGGGGTGAATCCCTGAAAATCAATGTGTATATTGTACACACAGTAAGCTCACCTCTGAAAGCCTGGCTCCATTCTTCATCACATTCTTCTCTCTTTTTCTTGAGAGAAAGACCCTTGTTCATGTGCCTGTTTCTGCTTGTACAGATCACCCCTCAGAGGTGCCAGAGAAGCTCATTCAGGACCGGTTCCGGAAACTGGGCCGCTTCCCTGAAGCCTTCAGCTCCATCCACTACAAGGGAACGAGGACTTACAACCCTCCCACTGACTTCTGTGGTCTTCGGCGTGCTTTGGAGCAGCAGCTGGAGAACAACACCACCCGCTCCCCCCGCCATCCAGGGGTTATCTTCAAGGCTCTGAAGGTCAGCTCACTCTGCCCCCTAGCCCCTCTCTTTGGCGTACCAGTGGGTGTTGAGCACACTCAGTTCTTCAGCTGTGACTGGTACTGGTGACTGGAAATCTAGGATGAAAAGGGAGGTTTGCAGAAGGAAGCTCAGTGAAGCTTGTACCTGGCGGATGCCCTCACTTTCTAGCTCAAATACAGAGGAATTTTCGGTGGCACTAAGCTACCCATGACATATTTGATATGCAAAAGAATAGTAACAACAAGTCTCACAATTTGTTGTGAGATGTTACTGGTGCCCGCTCGAGCAAATCGATGAACAACAGGACGACAGTGCTACGGTGGTACTTAAAAGTGGCTGTTTGGGCCAGATGGATAGTACGGGGGTTGAGGCGCCTCCCTTGCTTGCTGCTAATCCCAGTTTGATAACACTGTGCTGTGTAGGGTTCCTACCAGGGGTCACTTCTGAGCACAGAGCCAGGAGTAGCCCCTGAACACTGTTGGTGTGGCCTACCCACCCAAAAAGTGACAGATCTGGGGGGATAGTGGAAGAGACAGCACATGCCTAGTATGTGTGAGTCCTAAATTCAATCCTCAGCACTGTATGTTCTTCCTGAGCACCACTGGGGGAGCCCTGAAGACCCCTGAGGATCCTTGGATCCCAACACCTGCCTTACTCTAGTGGCTAGGCATCTACTGGGAGTGGCACCAGCCCCGCAAAACGCTGGGTGTGGTCCCTAGAGAAAAAAGTGATAGGGCCGTAACTGTGGTATAGCAAGTAGGGTGCTAGCCAAGCATTTGGCAGATGGAGGGGTCTCAGAAAACACATACAGTCTCCGAGCCCAGCTAGTAGAGATCTCTGAGCATTACCGGGTGTAGCCTCGAAGAGAAAAAAAGTAATAGAGCCTCATCTCAGAGAAAAACTATAGGGACTAGGAAAAAGTATTTATTTCTATGTAATGTGGTTCAGCCCTGGTGAACTTAGGTAGCTGAGACTATTTAGGGCAGTAATCTTATAAGTCCTGGTACAGCTCATTAGCTCATTCTCTCTTTCCCACCTAAATTAGTGTGTTCAGTAGGGGAACTTTTTTTTTTTTTTTTTTGCTTTTTGGGGTCACATCCGGAGATGCTCAGGGGTTACTCCTGGCTCTGCACTCAGGCATCACTCCTGGCAGTGCTAAAGGGACCATATGGGGTGCTGGGAATTGAACCCGGGTTGGCTGCATGCAAGGCAAACACCTTACCTGCCGTGCTATTGCTCCAGCCCCAGTAAGGGAACTTTTGCCCCTGGAAATAGAAAACTAGCATACTCAATAAAAATTTGCTAAGATAAAGAATTAAAATAAACCCATGATGATAATAATTATTCTTCCCTAAGTATCAAAGGTTGCAGGACTGTATATAGGTTAGCACCTTAATCCTTACACTTGTTCCATCCATGAATTAAGTACTATTGGGTGGTTACACGTGGTTACGGAGTGGCAGCAGGCATAAACTCTGATCATTTTCTTTAGACCATCTTCTCATAACCAGGAAGAATCCCTAACACGTTATTTTCTCATTGTTGATCATGCCAGGTTCTGAGACTGGGGCTTGGTTATTCTTTTAGAGGGAGATTAACAGGTGATCAGGAGATAATAAAGATATACTGTTACCTATGTTCTTTTTATATATTTATTCTTCTTTGGTTTTGGTTCGGGGCCACAGTTGGTACCCAGGAGACCAGTTGCGGTGCCAGAATTTAAACCAGTGTTATGGCTGAAGCCTCATGCTAGGCAAGTGCTTTAACAAACCTTGTATTATCTCTGAGGCTCTATTTCTTATTGTTTGGGGTTGCCTTTCCAAGCATTGTTCAGGGGGCCTGTGAGCTACTCCTAGCAGTATGCAGCCAAACAGGCCATCACTTCATTACTCGGGTCTCTGGGTCACCCAGGACTAGACCTGGTGGTGCTAAGGATAAAACCACTTCTGAGTGCATGCTAGGCAGGCTCCATGATGCTTGTACTACCCTACCCGGCCTTAGAGACTTTTTAGGGCCACAACCAGTGGTTCTCAAAGCTTATTCTGGGCTCTGCTCAGGAATCACTCCTGGCAATTCCCAGGAAAAGGAGAGCCAGGGATTGAACCTGGGTGGGTTGTGTACAAGGCCAAGTGCCTTACCCAATGTACCAACTCTTGAACCCTACTTTCTTTCTGTTGGAAACTGAAGTTTGAAAAGGGATTGAAACAGGAACTTGGTGCCATTGAGTGTCTGATTTGTGATCATGGTTTTTGACTCCTTAAACACATCTGTATTACCCCAGGGATTTGAGGCTGTCTTATGGGGAATTCATCTCTAAGCATGGTTTCTTTGTCCCTTAAAACCAAGTGAATTGTATTTTATGCATATCCCAGCAGAAACATCCACATGTCTCTCTCCCTCTCTCTCTCCCTCTCTCTTCCTCGCTTTCCTCTCTTCTCTCTCCTCTCTCTTCTCTCTCCTCTCTCCCCTCTCTCCTCTTTCTCTCTCCCCTCTCTCCTCTCTCCTCTCTCCTCTCTCCTCTCTACTCTCTCCCTCCCTCCCTCCCTCCCTCCCTCCCTCTCTCTCTCTCTCTCTCTCTCTCTCTCTTTCTTTCTTTCTTTCTTTCTTTCTTTCTTTCTTTCTTTCTTTCTCTTTCTCTCTCATCTCAATTTGATCCCTGAACACTGCCAAGAGAGATACCCAAGTGCAGAGCTGGAAGTAAGCCCTGAATATGGCCCAAGACCCTCCAAATGTACCTTTTTGGCTACACCTGGCAGTGCTAAGGAGTTACTCCTGACTCCCTGCTCAGGGATCACTCCTGGTGAGTTTCAGGGGGATCTAATCCCAGTTGGCTACATGCAAGACTAGCACCTTAACTCTTGATCTCTGTGGCACCCACATTTACCACTCTATAACATGGACTGTGGCCGCTGCTTCCTTCTTGTTCTTTGTATTGTGCATGCCTCTCTGTTTCTCTGGCTGCAGGGCAGAGTCGCAGGAAGGGGCCGAGCCTTTGCAACAGGGCTAGGGGTGGTGTCTGGAGAGAGGACAGAGGGAAGTGTTGACAGTAAGGTTGGCTCTACAGTTGTAAGGATGCCCAGAGCGTTAGGGGATAGAGCCTGGCACCAGGAGGAAAGGGAAGGAAGGAGTGGGGAGAAGTTGGTTTCTTATCAGGATAGATGTGCTCTCTCGAGAAGCTGACTTAGGTCTCTAGCCCAGATCTACTGAGTCCACGGAGTTTACAAAGTGTGTAGTGGGGGACAAGAAATAGTACAGTGGTTAGGAGCTTGTTTTGCACGCGACCAAACTGGATTTGATCCAGCACTACATCTTGTCCCCTGAGCCATGCCAGGAGTGGCTCCTGAGCGCAGAGCCAGGAGTGCACCCTGAGCACCAACCTGCAGGCTTGGCCCCCAAACTGTGAGCAACATTGTAAACGGTTAGTGAATCTGGGTAGATTGTATATGGGAGTTGAATGACAGTTGCAGTTTTCTGTAGGTTTGAAATTATATCAGTCAGGGTGCTTGCCTTGATATTTTATCAAGAGGAAAAGTTTTCACTTCTTCCCCTTTCCCTCACCAGATGACTCAGAGGGCTGGAATATACCTGGGTTCCATCCCTGGCACTGCTCCCTGACCCTGCAAAAAAGAAACAAACATACAGTTAATGGTCAGTAGAAACTATTTTGAATTATATTAAGGGGGGGAAAAAGCTGTAAGATTATTCTATTTAAAAAAAAATCCTGAAATACATATACTTGGGGGACTGGAGTGCTAGGGCACTTGTCTTTCAAACGTGTTTGACTGGGGTTCGATCCCCAGCATCACATACGGTCCCCCAAACCCACCAGGAGTGATCTCTGAACGCAGAGCAAGAGTAAGCCCTGAGCACATCTCTGGGGGTGACATCCCCCCCCTTCCCCCCCCTTCCCCCTCCCCCCCGGTTACTTAGGATTTGAGGTGGAATAGTTCTTAGATTCCAGGCTAATGTCCTTGTAATGGCTCCATGGTAGTCCCAGGGGAATCTCGTGCGAGCATTTCTCAAAAGAGGTTAGAGGCAAACTGTGCCATACAGGGGGTAGTAAATCTGGTCAGTGCGCCTGTCGCCAAGTAGGCCAATGACTTAGTTATAGAATTCCTCGTCTCGGAGTGAACTCAGCTTAATGGTTAAATAAGAACCTCAGGGACACCGAGTGCTGTAAGCAGTAATGAGTGCTTGGGGATTTTACCCTCAGGAGTCTTGGATGTCCTACCTCAGGCCAGTTTATTAGACACTTTTGAGAGACATAGTTACATTGTGTCCTTAGGAGCTGGTTCAAGAAGCTTTCTGTTATGGAAATGAGCTTGGTCAGCTGCACTGCCTCTAACCCTGAGTCCTGAGAGGACCCTCTTGCTCTGCCTCTAACTTCGAGTTTCTCCCGTCTATACCGTACTCTTGCTTTTCTGTTCTCTGGGGGTCCCTCTGCTTCTGTCCCAGTGAAGGGGGTTGCCTGTGAGCTTTCCCCAGAGAATTGTGTATCCAGATTTTTAAAATTCTTTGTTTTCTGATTTTAGTCCTCTTCTTTTAAATTAGAAATTTAAAAATTTGACTTGTTTTTGTTTTCATTTGGAGGGCCACATCCCGGAATGCTCAGGGCTTCCTCCTGGCTCTGCTCTCATGGATCACTCCTGGCGGGACTCATGAGACCATATAGGGTGCCAGGGAGTGAACCTGGGTCGGCTGTGTGCAAAGACCACTACCTGCTGTACTGTTCCTCCATCCCTAGAAAATGGAATTTTGTTGCTGTTAAAATGCACTTGGTGGTCTTCATGGGTCATAGCTGTGTACTTACAGTGATAATCTATTATTTGCCACTTGTGTTCTTTTAAAATGTTGGTTTTTGTTTATTTTTGTTTGGGGGCTATATCCAGTGGTCCTCAGTGGGGCTGCATCTAGCTCTGTGCTCAGAGATCACTCCTGCAGTGCTGGGGGACTATATGAGGTGCTGGGGATCAACCCTGTGCAAGGCAAGCGGTGCT